ATCTATCTATCTATCTATCTATCTATCTATCTATCTATCTATCTATCCTCCCCTCTCTCAGGGTTCAATAGAATGAATCTGCTATTATATCTTTTATACTTTTTGTAAAACAAAAACAAAAACCCAATGACAAGCCTGCAGAAATAATGTTATAGAATGAGCTGAAGGAGCCTGGTTAAAGCAGCACCACAGGAAGGGATACAAAGGCAGGGTGCTTTGAGTCATCATCTCTACCTTCACTATGGTAGTATCACTAAGCTAACAATAATTTCTAAATGATCAGTTCTAAGGTAATTTCTGCTCCTAGGTCCCATTTTTCTTTAATCTGAAATTAATATGTTAAAATGTGTTTTGGGAAGAGAGGGGAAGAGGGAAGGAGGTGCAATGAGGCATTTTCTGTTCATAAGCTTGCTTAACTATATACACCTCCAAATTTGGTTTTACTTCTCCCCATTCAGAACAGTAAACTTTTTTCTTAAAAGTTCAATATATTGTGATGCTTGGTTTGCAATTAGTAAGAAAATGAAAGGGGTAGTTTGAGTCCATTAATTAAATAGTAAATTCCTGTGTGGGACTAAAAGTTGATGCATTCCAGAAGGAAACAAATTAAAGAAACAATTATCTCAAGAGTAGCTAATATTGGTCATAGAAAATAGAAGCATATACTCTTCAGATCATACAAATTGAATTGCATGAATGCGCTTTCTATTTTTGTAACGAACAAGCAAAGGATTAATAAGGATTAAAGGAAGTAAAATTTTTAAGGCAAAGGATTTATGCTGCAAAGCCTAAAATGGTCCTGCAACTGGATATTCTCTATTTTAAACAATAGAAAAAAGGGAAAGCATTCCTAACATTTCATCAAACTTCTCCAAGTACAATGTCTTCTACTGTACACAGTTTTTATCTCTGTCTCTGTCTCTTGCTCTCTACAATGTTTTTCCATCTCCTGGAAAACACACTGAACATGAACATGGGAAAATCTTGAGTTTCAAGAAAACCTACCTTTGCCAAGTAAAGATGTAGCTTTCTTGCAATTAGTAGATCAGTAATCAGGGTTGTTTACTTTTCTGAAGAACGCTGGCTTCTGTACATACTCCAGAACATTCACTTGTGAGGTACATTGCCCTATCAATACTTAATTAAGGTATAATGATACATCACTGAAAAGTACATTACAATCTGCCCATTTCCTCTAAAGGCATATACAATATATATGCTTCCTGATAATAAGTGTGAGCAAATTAAACTTGGTGCTACAGCAGAGACATTTCATTTGGAAATAAACCTGTTTCAGTGCTTGCTTCTCAGATAAATTGGAAATTTTAGTAAATGTCAGCAAAGAAGATAAAAGATAAAGAGCAATGTGACAAGAGAAGTTGTCATACTTTATTGCAGGATATGCTGAAATATTAACCATGTCTACCAATGATACCACTTTGGCTCATAATAGATCATTGTCATGAGTGAATGTGATAAAATATTTTATAGAGAAAGGGCATACTTAACAATGTAGAAATTGGATCTATTCCCCAGTATTTTTTTCAGTTATTATCTTTAACCTTTTATTTTGTTTTCAAATATTTCAATCTGCAGTGCCCTGCAATTATTAAAGATTACAAAGATATTAATTATTCTTCTGGATTTTGTGGCAGGAATCAGAAAAATGTCATTTTACAAAGATGTGAAGTCAATATGATCTTGCTCAATTAAGGGTGTTAATTCGACCATTACATGCTGTTAATAAAAACTGAATATTGTTTGTATGAAGGTCTTTTATAATAAGAATTCCAAGCATGCCATTCATGTATAAAATATATTGGCTTAACATTTATCACAGTCAAATACTTTTAGGTTGCACTGATCTCAGCAAGAAAAATTTAAGGCATATATGATTTGATTATGATTGAACTGTGCTTATGCTTGTTGGATTGCACCCTTAATTATTACTCTCTGTGACCCTCCTATGGCTTGGACTTCTATCAGGATTAAGATTGAAATGAATAAAATAATATTTATAATGAAGAAATAATGAGTAAAAAAATAAATAATAAAATACATTTTCATTATTAAAAATAATCAGTGTTCACTAATAAGAAATAAAATTGAATGGCTCTGCCTAAATGGATAAACAGCATACAGTCACAGGAGTAATGGAGTAGTCAAGATCAAATCCACCAGCTAAGTCTAATGCTATCATTTAATTTTCTCATATGAGGCATATCCTTGACATATCCCTGTAAAACTAAAAAATTATGGAATTTTGTGGGGTATTTTTCCCTTAAATTTTAATAAATAAAAACAAAATACATTCTACATATGTGGAATTAGCATATGTAGGATTCTCTGTCTGGTTAAATTTGTATAAATGCATTTCTATTTATATAAATTCTATTTCTAGCTATATAAATGTTATTTTTCTACCATCATTTGCATATCTTAAAATATCATAATTGTTTAATGAGCATACAAATTCATCTTGCTTAGTTTTCCACATTTATGTATAACTTATTATGGTTCACTTTCCTTGTTTCCCAACATTTTACAGCTCCATACTTTTCATTTCAGCAAACCCTGTAATTTCTGCTGAAATAATTCAGGTTCTTAGACAACAACTTGGTAACATCTCAGTATACATACATTCATGTTCCCAACCCCAAGACCTGTAATATCACCACAACCTTTCCTTATACATTTATCCATAAATAGCTTAAACAACCAAGGACATTACCAAACACCTTAGTCCTTGCTCAGTATCCACTAAGCATCCAGTTTGGTCTAGTACTTAAGGCACCAGATTAGAAAGTGGGAGACCATGAATTCTAGTCCTTCCTTAATGAAAAAAGCCAGCTGGGTGACCTTGGGCCAATCACTTTCTCTCTTCACCCAATTAACCTTACAGTGTTATTGTTGTGAGGCAAAATAAGAGGAGAAAGAAAGGTATTTTGAATCTGTTCTCTGCTTTGAGTTAGTTATAAAAATAATAAAGTCAGGATACAAATGAAATAAATAAAATTTCATTGATTGTCATTAATTTTCTTCTTATCCCATTCTTAACCATATTGAACAACAAATTTTCAAGGAAAATATTTGATTCTAAATAAAACATGTGAAGGTCAGGCACGTTACCGATCTTTGGTGTCCAGAAACAAACAACCCATGGTCACTTGACTCTTTTAATTCAAATATAAATAATACAAAGGAACACAATTATTTTTTTCTTTCCATGAGGTATATGCAAATACTTCCCTTTTTAAAGAACTTAATTGTACCTTGTCGTATAATAATTTCTATCCCATACACAAAAACTTAACTGAACATTAATTTGTTTTATGAATATCTTTAGTGCTTTAGGTCTGGAAGAAATGGGACTTCAATTATTTCCAAGATTCATCAGGAAATACTTTTCCTACCTGCAAATATTTATAAATGTTCAGTTAGTTGCTAGGATAGAATACCATGTTAGAGCTTTCTGAAGTGGAAGAAAATGTCAGAATTCTGAAAAAATTATGATAAACAAATGGAATAAGTCAAATTAATAATACTCAAAATCAACCCACACTTAAGTCATAGTAACTGGGGGGGAAAATCTCATACTTAATCAGTAGAACATAAGGACCTCTTATGGTGGAAGTTTTTAATGACGTCTTATTGGCAGCCAGGATGCTGGACTCATGGAGGGGGGCATTGATTTCACTGATCCCGAAGGAGGATTCAGATCCCCGGTATATACAAAATTATAGGCCAATTTCATTGTTAAATACTGATTACAAAATATTTACTTCTATTATAGCAAGTAGACTAAAAAGAATGTTAAATGAGCATATACATGAAGACCAAAATGGATTTCTCCCAACTAGACAAATCAGGAATAACTTAACAATAGTATTAGATGTTTTAGAATTTTATGAAGCCCACCCCAAAAAACAAATTGCACTTATGTTTTAGACACAGAGAAGGCCTTTGATAATTTAAATTGGCAATTTTTAATCCAAAAAATTTATTATATGAATTTAGGCACCAAATTTGAAAATATTATAACAACCATTTATGATACACAACAGGCTAATATTATAATAAATGGGGAATATACCTGCCCAATAAAAATAGAAAAAGGAGTCAGACAGGGCTGCCCACTGTCACCCCTGCTCTTCATATTATCACTAGAAGCATTGTTAATGCGAGTTAGACAGAACCCAGACATAAAAGGATTAAAGGTTAAGAAAGAAGAATATAAGTTGCAAGCGTTTGCGGATGATATGATTTTTTTCATTGAAGAATCAATAGAAAGAGGACAAAAATTGATGAATGAATTAGAACAATTTGGAGCAGTAGCAGGACTAAAAATTAACAGGAAGAAAACAAAATTAATGACCAAAAAATTAACAGAAAAACAGAATTTAGAACTAGAAGAAATTATGGGAATACAAATGATAAAGAAAGTTAAATACTTAGGAATATGGTTGACAGTACATTGTAAGGCACTTAAGGAAAATAATTATGATAAATTGATGCAACAGGAAAAGAAGGATTTAGAAACATGGGGCAAGCTGCAACTTTCATTATTAGGCAGGATCGCTGCTATTAAAATGAATATTCTTCCAAAATTCCTCTAGATATTTCAGACGATCCCAATCAAAGTACACAAAATTTTTTTTTGAAGAACTTAATAAAATAACTGTAAAATTTATCTGGCAAGGGAAAAAAAACCAGAATAAACTTAAAGGTAATGCAGGATATGAAGAGCAGGGGAGGGCTGGCACTTCCAAATTGGGAGTTGTATTATAGTGCAGCCTCTTTAGTATGGTTGAAGAAATGGGTGAATTTAACAAATAAGAGAATATTATTCTTAGACGGCCATGACTTGCAGAGGAGGTGGCATGCTTTTTTATGGGATGTTGGGAAAACTAGCCAGAAATATTTTCACAGACACCTAATCAGAGATTCATTATTGACTAATTGAAATAAAATACAGAAAAAACACTATTTAAAAATACCAATTTGGATTTCAACAATGGAGGTGATGATTCACCCAAATAATTTGGATATTACTAAAATGATTAAGTATAAGGACCTATTGGATGCGCAAGGAAATCTGAAATTGCGGCAAGAACTTCAAGATCGGGGACTAAAAATTGATCGGTGGGCATATCTTCAAATTCAAAGTAGAAATAAACAGGACAAGAAAGAATCTGGAATTAACAATAAACTCCAGCAATTAGACAAAATTTTATTAGGATCAGGCAAAAAAAAATTTATAATTATTTATTAGAAGTAGAATTAGAAGAAGAAATTGTAAAAGGGAATATGATAGCCTGGAGTAGGAATATAGGACATAGTATCAACATAACAGAATGGGAAAAGGTCTGGGGTAGAAATAATAAAATTACAAAATCAGTAGCATACAAAGAAAATGCCTATAAAATGTTTTACAGATGGCACCTTCCTCCTTCAAGATTAGCGAAGATGCACCCCAATATGAGTCTGAATTGCTGGAAATGCAAAAAAAAAGGGAACTTTCTTCCACATGTGGTGGTCCTGTATAGAAGCTAAAAAATATTGGCAGAAAATTAGAAATTGGCTGGAGGAAATAACAAGAGAACAGTTCGAATTCAAACCAGAGTCCTTTCTATTAGAGATCTTTGATAAACAAATACCAAAAACACTGAAATATATAATAATACATATTTTGACAGCGGCCAGATTGGCTTTTGCACAATGTTGGAAACAGCCTCATGTTCCATCAGAGGAGATGATTATTCAAAAAATTTCAAGTTGTGCAGAAATGGACAAATTAAACTTGGCACTAAAAAATAAAGACACTTCAATATACTACAACAGCTGGAACTGCTGGTACAGATAGATAGACCAAAGATAGATTTCACACTAAAAGGGAAAAGAGGATAGGATAGAACCATAGTAGTGATATACAGATATATGTAAGGATTAGGTATGTGTATATGGCATAAAATAAGGATAAAAAGGAGGTTTCACAAACTGTTGAAGATGAAAATGTTTTTAATTGTTTTCTATCTTTTTCTTTCTATTTTCTTCTTCCTTTCTTCTTTTCTTTTTCTCTCTTACATTTATGTATGTATATGGCATAAAATAAGGCATATGGAATAAAATTGTTGGTCTGTTTTAATTGTAAAATCAATAAAATTTATTTAAAAATAAAATAAAATAAAACTTGATAAAAGATAATGATTCTTGCCATTTATATATATGCAAAATGGAACACATTAAAATGAAATTCAGATCCCTCACTTTTGAAAGAAGGAATGCCACCTACAAAACAATGTCCCCATCCCAAGGATAATAATATAACAGCACCAGCACAAAAATGGCAAGTTATACAAAAAAGACACTAAAAGCTATATCAATCGTAGTCCATTCTGAATACATAGCAGGGGAAAAAAGTCTTCAGTGTTAACAGTGTTGATACTGCATGAAACAAAGCTGTTACAGAGTGTAATTGCTATGTTTGAATAATTGACAAAATTAATGAAAGAACAAGATAAGTATACTTGGGAGTGTATCTACTGACACCTGGGCATATATGGATATGCATTTCTAATATACATTTTTGATCCAAAGAAATACATTTTAATATATCCATATTCAGTATTTACATCTAAAATTACATTTGTACTGTTGCAGGAAACATATTACAAAAATATTAATAAAGCTAGTAAATTTATATATTTGTCATTACATTTGCAAAGCTCTTTGTTTTTTCAAATCTCAGTTTCTCAATCTTGAAATAGAAATGATCTAATAAAATTTATATTTTATTTTTCTGTTTTTTTATAATAACAGATCTGGCAATTGACAGACAACTGACAATATATACATCTGACAATGTATTAATACATATGCATAAGAAAAATGGAGGGAAAATGACAGTATTTTTTAGGTAACAGATAGTTTTTCCCAATTTCTTAAAAATGTTCAACCAATTTGAATAATTATGTCCAGGTTCGAGTAATGAACCCAACCAATGCAGCAGTCCGAGATGTTCAACTTTCTCAAATAACTCTTTTATTAAGTACATCATTCTGTCACGCATGAAAACAAAACCAGCTGTAAATATTTCCCATGGTTTAAGTATAATTAAAGAATGGATAATTCCCTCCCTCATTCTCACAGATCACATTATCCAGTTATCAGGGGTGGGATTCTATCAGTTCGGACAGGTTCTATAGAACTAGTTATTATGATTCTGCACAGTTCAGAGAACCGGCAAATCGTGCCCCTAGCTGGCCCCTCCCCGCCCTCCCCACCCAGTCCTTATCGCGTATGCATAACATTGGGCGCATGCCGACATTGCTGACTGCATTCTTTCTGCCCAATCACTCCCTAAAGTATTTCCTTTATTTCGTGGCACAAACTGGTGAAAAACTAACTCTGAGAGTTCCCGCATTTTTTACCTCATTAAAAAGTGAAAGTTTCCTGTTCTCCCAAACAATATCACATTGTCCAGTTTGGGTGCTGGCGGGTTGCCTGGTTACTTTTCTCCTACTCCTCTAGCCAGCCAGCTGTTGGAATGCCCTGGCTTCATAAGAGAACTATTTTGTTTTGGCTACAAAACGCCAGTTATCTCAGCTCCAGGCTATGGCAAGCCTGAAGCCATGTGAAGAAAAATCTCTATAGAAAAAGCTACAGAAAAAAAGATGGCCACAGCCAGTAAGCTTCAGGGTTGACATCTCTGCAAGTATTTCTTGCATCTGGAGTCTCAGGACTGATGGTCTTGACCCAGTATAAACAACGCCACTCAGCAGCACTATAATTCATGAGTGCAAACCTCCCTTCCAGTTTTTATGGGATTACTTCACACAAGGTTGCTTTCCCAACCCAAATGCCCATGTCCCCCTCCTTGTTTCTATGGCAGCCGAGAGCAAGCAAGTTTCAGAAACCCATGCTGGAGATCCAGCTGACACATAGAAAGGTTTGTTAAATTCAAATTCTTGATCATCCTTTAAACATTTTATAGGATTTTCAATAGAACATGCACATACTGTACATACACAAAAATACAGATACAGAAACATATGCACACAGAAACCTTCCTGTTAATGTATTTCTGTGATCTTTGGTTTAGTTTTTTTTAATCCTCTGAGCGGCTTTTCAGGAAGTGAAGTAAAGTGAAACCATATGGTCCAGCTAATAAGCCACTAAATTGGGTTTCTTCCAAATGTTAGGATTAGGGGCTGGCTGTGGCAAAGTCACAGGACCTATATTAACATTTTAAAGATCAGATTCTTGAAGTGAGAAAAAGATTGATAATCTCTGTATCTTTGCATCTTTCACACACTAGGATCATTTCTGAATCTTGATTTCAGATAGTTTCAGTCAGCAGCCCAGTCATGTCAGCTTATATTCTTTGGAAGAAATAAAATCTTAGCTAGATTGTTTTCATTTTCCATTGATTTGCAGTGAAGTAAATAAGTTTTCATGACACATTTTGTGTGGCATTATATTTATTCTAAATAGGATTCTCTCTCTGTGTGTATTTGTGTGCGTCTTTGAGTCACTTTGACTCCTGATGACTACCTCGGCAAGTCCCTGAAATTTTCTTGGCAAGATTTTGAAAATGTTTTGCTAGTGCCAGGTTCCTTGGGCTGAGAGAGAGTACTTGAGTCAAGGTCACGCAGCTGGATTTGTGCTTAGAGCAGAATAAGAACTCTTAAACTGAATAACTATGGACAGACAGAAATCTAAGGCAAATGAAATAGCTGCAATGATGTGTTCCCCATATAAGGATTACCCATACTAAATTCCAAAACTTAAAAATAAGCTCAGGCCATCTCATATCTGATGTGCCCATGGAAGAATCATATCAAACCAACCTACAAAACATAACTATGTAAGGGAAAGTATCTTACGTAGAATTTCATAGGTATAGCTTCTATGAGGCCATCACTTAATTTGCTTCATGACGGTACATTATCAATAACAGCAAAATATGTCAGTGTTAGTTTGCTAGATTCATGTCCCCTCAACTTATAGGGGTCCATGTTTTAAGATTAATGTATCTTCTTTGGCAAATCATATGCTATTTACTTTACATGGAAAATGTTTCTGTTAGCCTACATACATAAATAATTCTGACTCATTATTGAAAAGTGAATTATATGGATAAGGGAAATATTCAGACAATGTTGGTATATTCTTATTAAAAGTCTGCATTTGGATTTGAAAAAGATAAATTAGGCTTTTTGCCATAAAATGCCTAACTGACTTATCAGCTGCTTACACAACCATCTTTATCTTTCTGTTCCAGGAAAGACGAGTATATATGTAAGCAGTTTGAAAGCCTGCTTATTATTTACCCAGATGTAATAAATCAACAGCCAAGGTCTGCTCTGTGTTACTGTTATTTGGAAATAAATGGACATGACTCATTGGTAGTGTAATGGTAAATTTGATGCTTGTTTTCCAGAAACAAGGCCCTACATTTTTGCCTGCATGTTAATTCCAATTCACTATATAATATTCCTGTAACTTATGGAAGCTTTTCCTTTTCAATA